CCATAGCATCCGAGGAAACGGTTCTTTACTTGGAACGGGTTGAACACACAAATCGAATCCTAATTCAATTAGAGATACCTTAAACTAAAATAAATCTCGTTCATACCTAAAAAAGGAAAGAAAATTCATCAGTAGAAAATTATATATTAGTAGAATATTATATATATGATTAAGAAAAATAAATAAAGAAAATAGCATGAGTACCAAAATTGAAATAATTAATAAATCATAAATAAAGATTAGAGGTAAATGATAAATAACAAATAAAATAAAGTCTAAATGAATAAATTAAATATGAATAAATTGCATTCGAATAAATTAAGTTAAAAGAAAAAGAAATAATAAAGGTTAAGGGTCTTCACCAAAATAAACTTGAAAGTAAACAAATAAAAGAAAATATGTTAGATCTTGACGAACTTGAAGGTTTTTTAGCGAAACTGCAACAGACCACGTCTGTGGTTGTGTATCGTGCTCAATTTGAAGCCATCACCAATCGTACCATGTATTTGCCTTCATCTTTCTTAGAGTTTTTTTTTTTTTTTTTGGTATTCGGACTATGAACTGATATCAAACACTCGATATTGATTCACAAACCACCAGCGCTTGAGGATGCTATGGAACATGGCTCAATTGCATGAGCAACGTCTTCTACCTTTAGAGGAGAACAGGTCATGTTTCCTCAGGTTCTAGCAAACCGTTGCTTCCAACACCTAAATTTTCTGGCCCAAGCAATCTGGTTTTGGCCACTCTCTTACATTTGATTTATCCATTATCTACAGCAACAAAGGTGGGTTTTCGCCATTTATCCCCAACTGAAACAGATATTCTTGGAACCATAAATGTAAATCGACTCCACAACTGCTTCTCTTTGGTGATGATACAGATCCGTTATTAAATATTCCTTCTTCGGACCTTTCACTTCTTCTTTCGTCATCGGATACCGATCTTGTCGAAAAGCTTCAAATTCAAGAAGTGCAGACTTATTTCTTTATTTCTTATAATGCTCTTGTGGGCGGCTATTTTGGTTCTACCTTATGTTTCACAGGTACTGTACATGGGAAATGGATGCAAGTTCTACTTGATGGAGGCAGTACCCACTGCTTTATTCAGACTCGTGTGGTAAAGTTTATGTAGTTACCTATTGAAGATACTTCTCCATTTTGAGTTGGTGTGGGTAGTGGTGAATGATTATCTTGTACTGATCTGGTTCGACAACTTCCCTTGGTTATACAAGGTCATACTATGGCTACTGATTTTTACGTTTTACCGTTGCAAGGATGGGATCTTGTTCCCGGCGTGTCTTGGTTAGCTACATTGGATCAGGTTGTTACCGATTACTCTACTACCCCTTTTGAGTTCCAGCATAATGGGATTTCAGTTGTTTGGAAAGGTAATTCTACTCCAGCAGCTCATCCAGTGCAATTTAATAGTTTACAGCGTTTATCTCACACTAAGGCGATTGATGAATTTTTCGTTTGGAATTGGTGTCACCGAATTCTTCTACGCCTCCTTTGATTGAACTGGCCATCCAACATTTATTGGATGAATTTTCAGATGTGTTCGCTAAGCCACACGGTTTGCCACCATCTCGTCCTATTGATCATTTTATTCTGTTACTGGTGCATTCTTCTAGTGAAGGTTCGTTCATATCGATATCCTCATTTTCAGAAGCAGGAAATAGAGAAGATTGTTTCGGATATGCTTCGGAAGGGCATTATTCGGCCGAGTAGCAACCCTTATTCTTCTCTCATTTTGTTGGTTCGGAAGAAAGATGGTACTTGGCATTTTTGCATAGGTTATAAAGCCGTTAACGCTATCTCCATTCGTGATCGTTTTCCCATTCCTTCGATTGATGAATTATTGGATGAATTGCATGGGGCTTTATTTTTTCCAAATTGGATTTATTGGCAGGCTACCATCATATTCGACTAAAAACAACAGATGTTGATAAGACAGCTTTTCATACTCATGATGTCCACTACGAATTTCTTGTCATGCCATTTAGGTTGTCTTATTAACCGTCGACATTCCAACACTTGATTGATGATGTTTTTCACCCTTATCTTCGGAAATTCGTCTTGGTATTCTTTGATGATATTTTAATCTATAGCTTCAGCTTGGAAGAGCACTTGCACCATGTGCGCCTGGTTTTTCAATTGTTGCATGATCATCATTTGGTCGCCGAGCTTTCCAAGTGTGTTTTTGGCTAGCAAACCTGGGTTATCTCGGACACATAATTTCGGCACAAGGAGTCTCGGTTGATCCAAATAAAATAGTAGCCATACGTCAATGGCCGCTACCGTAAATAGTTAAGGATGCCCACAACTTTCTTGGTTTAGTTGTGTTGGGATTGCCGGTATACCTCATGGCCCAACGAAAAAATTATCCGACGATCTCACCAGTAATTTAAGTACGAAACTTCAGATTCAGGAAGAATGGATGCACGATTTACCTTGGGTTTCTAGAAAAACAGCAATCATACAATGCAGTCAGGAACAATTCGAATCGTAAGCCTTCACAAAATCATTTAAGTTTTTACGTAGTTCACCCAGTTGAGAACAAATATTTTCTTTTTCTCAAAAAATGATTTTGATAATTTCGTGTAAAAGTGGTAGAGCGGCTACTAGACCATACTTATCTTTTTATATCATGTTACCCTAACCCTTGGGGTTTCTTCATATTCGAAATTTATTTATTAAAAGAATTATATTTTCAATTAAATTCTTTTAATATTTATTATATTCAACTTAATTAAAATTAAATATATATATATTAAATTTAATAATATATACTTAACTCACGTTCAATTAAATTGTACAATTACAATTCATTTAACATCTGCTCATTTCAACCTTGGGATGTAATCATGTAGGTTTATGTAACATTAGTAGTAATTATTAGAACCATTCTAATATTACAAACAATTAGTGACATCTAGTAATATATCATTGTCACTTAAGTTACAAGAAATCGTGAATTGACATAACATCTTTGTTACTAACTTTTTCTGTATTATCTCCCTTTGTCCTTTATATATAGAATAGACATAAGTCTTAGTATAGTCACACTTGTATAACTCATCTATTATTTCTTGATATCTAGAGTAGAATAAAATAAATGAACAACTTGTGATATCTCATATGGACTTGTTCGAGAATGACCATGATTTCTAGTCTCACTCAATCAAGTGGCCTATGATATATTTCCTATTATGTAGGAAGGACAAATCTTATATTGATCATTCACACCTCACTACATACATCATGATATGTTCATTAACAGTCTTTATAGTGCAACCAGTTACGGGGCATGTTTAAATATATCAAAACATACAATAGTATATGTTGATATAATATTGATCTCAAGTCTAAGAATCATACATGTAGTCATCACCATGAGCAATGATGTGACCGTCACACAATAATTCAAGACACATACTCATAACAGATCAATTCAATACATGAGAATTGATTTGAAGGAGTTGTCAAATGGAAGGGAAGTGATGGTTTGTAATTGACAGAGTGGAAGTGAAGTTTTGGGAAGGAAAAAGCTTAGGGGAAGCAGATACTACTCGTTGCTGAAGCCATTGCTTAGATGCTGGAGTCGGAGTGATAAAGGGTAATATCTACTTTACAAGTAGTTGAAGTTATTTTTATTTTTATTGATTTTAATATTTATATTCTAGATTCATGATTTTTGTTTTCTAATAATGCCATAGGAGACACTTGCATATTATTCTCTAACAACATACTCATGTATTGATTTTGACATCTATATGTCAACGACAACTCGTTATCATCAATCAATTCTATGTTAGCCTTAAACGCGTTATTATTGTACATGTCTAATAATACTTGACTAAGGATCTTTAATAATAATTATATTATTATATGGACTTTATTATCTTTCAGTTCATGTTAGACATATAAATATAACTGAAAATAATGGTGGCAATGTCTTTAATTCAATAAAACCGATAAAGAAAATGTATTATTACAATCATCTCATTGGTTTTTGAGCATACTCTACCAAGGTGGATATTATCATCGATTCATCCGTAATTATGCCTCCATAGCTGGTCCATTGACTAACCTTCTTCGCAAAGATGCTTTCATTTAGATTCCTGCTACTACTTTGTCATTTGAATCCTTGAAACAAGTGTTGAGTAAAACTCCTATGCTTCGCTTACCGAATTTTACGCATCCATTTACCATTGAAACAGATGCTTCGGGAACCGATAATGGTGGTGTTCTCTCCCAAGGTGGACAACCATTGGCGTTCTTTAGCCAAAAGTTGAGTCCTTTTCTCCAACGTGCCTCTACCTACCAACGAGAGATGTACGTCATTACTCAATCAGTGGCAAAATGGCGTCAATATTTGTTGGGTCAAAAAATTACCATCTATACTGATCAACAAGACTTGAAAAATCTACAAACCCAGGTAATACAAACTTCAGAGCAGTAGAAATGGCTCGGCAAACTTCTTGGGTATGATTTTGATATTGTATATTGTTTAGGTAAGGCAATGTCACTGCATATGCATTGTCTCGTGTTTCTTTTTTTTAGCTCATGGTGTTCTCGACAAGACTTTGGTATTCTTGATGACCTTCATCTTGCTAATAAGCAACATCCCGAGCTTCTTAAACTTCAACAACAATTGACTAATGATACTTCTACATGTCGAAGTATGGTTTCAAGGATGGCCTCTTATTTTTTTGGGATCGATTGGTAATTCCGACTGATTCTCTCCTTCGACAGTAATTTTTGTGTGAGTTTCACTCGTCTCCTAATGGCGGTCATTCTAGTTTCCACCGTACGTTTCACTGTCTCTCTTCTAATTTTTTTGCCACACATTCGTCGTGATGTGCAACAATTTATAGTCGAATGCAACATTTGTCAACAAATAAATCTTCTTCATTACCTCCATCTATAGACACCCGTTTTTGTTCGAGTCTACAAAAATATTATTTATATTATTATTATTATTATTATTATTATTATTATTATTATTATTATTATTATTATTATTATTTTAACTTATATATTATACATTTTTGCAGGCCAACCCAATTACAACATAAGCCCATGCTGACTCGAAGCCCAAACCAACTAGCCCAATCCAAAACAAAAAAGCTTACCCAGTGACCCAGCATTTAACCCAACCCAAGCCAGGCTCCAGTTGAGCCCAACAGTCAGCAAACCCGACCCGAACCGGCCCACTAGCAGACTCAAATAGATTAGGGTTTCTAAACCATAATCCAATAACCACCGCTGCCTTTTGTGGAAGTTGAACAGCCATCGTCGGTGTCTTTGGTACACGCGCCCGACGTTTCGTCCCCAGACCAGTGCGTGAGTTTCACCGGAGCCTCCTCAGTCGCGTAAGCCGCCGCCATCATCACCAAAACCTACGAACAATGCAAAATATCACCAAATCAGCCCATATCTCATCTACAGTAACCTAAATCCGAAAACCCATTAAAAAACTAAATTAAATCCTGAAAAATCGGGATTTAATCCTACCAAGTCAGAGAGACATGCCCTACAACCTAGATATCATCATCTCACCAAATAAAGCAGGGAGCAACCAAATTAAAGGGAGGATTCAGTAAAAAAAAAGAGGAGAGGATTCGAGGAAAACCGAAAAGAAATGAAGCGAAAACCAGAAGAAAAAAAACGAGAGAGAAAACCATAAAAAAGAAAAAAATATTCGAACCAAAACCAGAAAAAATAATAGAAACCTTTTCGAAATGAAGAAAAGGAAAATATTTACCCTTAACCGATCTGGTCAACGCTGCTTCATCGGAGTGACTGGATTCTATCTTCGGAGGTAAGGTTCTTACATTTGGAGCTTGGGGTTTTAAGCTTCGGTTGTAGGTGGGGGATTAGTTTTTTAGGTTGGTTTTAGGGTGAGGCTGTTGTAGTGTGTAAAACCCCATGGCCATCGATCTACGGTGGCCAGGGTTGCGTGTTCTTCTTCGGTAGCGAGAAAAAGAATGAGAGATTAGAGAGAGGGGAAAGGGAAACACTGATGAAAGAGGGAGAAATGAAATTAGGGTTTCAAAATCACCCTTAAAACCGGTTATTTCCTAGCCCTTATGTAACATCGTTTAAAGGGTAAGGACATGTGTGTTTCAGCGTGTGGGGAATATAGCCATTTAGGTCCCCATAGTTTGTAATCTTTCTGTTTAGCCATCAAATGAAATTTGTAATGTTCTGTTTTGGGCACTCATTCTTCCTCATTTATATTTAAGTCACTATGTTATGTATTACACCATTTTCGTTTATGTTTGGCTCTAGTTTTAATATTTGTAAACCTTTCATTTCAATCATTGAATGTAACTTTACTTTCTTTATAATTAGTGTTTTTAATTTATGTTGTTTACATTTTGGTCACTGTTTTGGTAAAGCTACCTTTAGGTAAAATTATTGATTGTCATTACGAATTTCTGTTTCATATCATTTTAGTCCCTCATATTATTCATGGTTTATTTCTACTTTTAGGACCTTATTGTTTAATGTGTTTATTATTACCCTGACCATTGTCACTATTATTGTTTAATAACTCAAGTTAATATTAATATTATTTTGATCCTTTTAATAATCAAATATGTTTAGTTTCTTTTGTTGATACTATAGTCTCCATTGATTCCATGATTTTATTTGTCCTTTATAGTATACTATATTGTATATACATATTCCATTGTACCACGTTTATCAAGTATTTTATATAATTACGTATCAAATATGTGTGTATATATAAGTCAAATAAATATGTTAATTACATTTTCACCTTATTATGTGCGTATATATATTATTATATAGATATATTATTATTATATATTTATATTTCATTTCATATTTATTTTTATTTATTTTTTATTTTATTCTTTACTATATTACTTTATTACTATCCGAATATTTCAAGAACACGTATTTGTAGAACGGTCGTGGAGAGTATCACTTGATCGAAGTGGTACAATCCGACACGACGTTCGAATGAAATGAGACTTGAAATAAATTGATTTTGTTTTAGTTAATTAATTCATTTTATTTCACGTTGAATAATGCAATGCATGTTTCTAAATAGCACTTTATTTTACTTTATGCAAAGATCGATTTTCATTTTATATTCAATTTGTTCTTTAAAATCAACGAGGAGTGAATATTCTTTTACTGATAAGAAATAGTTGAGTTAGCTTTCCCGATAGAGGATTGCTAATTTCAAGATTTCTTTTTAAGTTAAAGAATTCTCTCTAATTAATTAGTTCGAAGCAAATTAATCAAAGTTCAATAAATGGATCATATTTTAATTTTATATTCGATTCCTAATTTCCACCATTTACGACAATGTGCAAGCGACATAGTACCAATTTTGGGCACTGTGGGGTGCTTACCCTTCCCCACACGTAACCGACTCCCGAACTCGTTTTAATAGAATCTTTGTAAACGCATACCAGATTTTTGTCTAAAAAATTATTTTTCTTAAAATTGTTTTTAAAAGATGTTTTTAGGTATTCGACCTACCTAACTCAAAGGTCGATGGCGACTCCTATCCATTTTAATTCCAATTAATTCCAAATCACCAAATTTTCCAAATTAAAGTCATAATCGTTTTTAAAATAATACTTAATTGTTTTTTCAAAAAATAGTTATGACAGCTTGGCGACTCCGCTAGGGACCTTTTTTTAGAGAGTCAGGTTATAAGTCGCTTACAAAATGTTGTAATGGTGGAAATTGTGTGTTCGAGTCTTTAGTTAACTTATGATTCATTTATTGAAGTTTTTAATTGCTTCATTTTTAATTGTCATACTAACATTTTAATTTTGCTTTCAGCTTTGTCCAGATTTTTGTCGAGTTTTTTTTCCGTTTTTTAGTCAAAGGTAGGTATATTCCTCCTCACACACATCATGAGCATTTTCATGACATAAGCTCTAGACACGAGCTTCAATCCAAATTAGTCGGGGTGAATGCTTTACTCTCGTAAAAATTTATTCTTCGTATGAGTTTTAGCAAATAACCCATGGGATACATACCTTATACCTTCGTAGAAATTTATTCCTCGTATGGGTATAAAGTGGTAATCCCCTCGAATTGAACTTGTTCCGTTTGAAACCTGTAATGGGTGAGGATCGAGGGTCTGGCAGCCCAAGGGGGCACCGACATCAAGGACAATTCGAGTACCATTTTCATGTTAGAGCTGAAACCATGCATATAGTGAACCATAGAACGGTCACCCTGGGTATAGACATACCGAACCTCTGTCCATTAGTAGGTACCCAAATAAGTGTATACAAAGGAGGAGTGTTTCTAAACTTTTCCTTTTTGCTTTAAATTATGTTAAATAAAAGCATGTGAACTAAATACCATGCGGTTAGGATCAATTTCTTGAAAATAAATCATTGTGGGTAGAAAACATATCCGGGTAGGATTGCTATTTAATTAAAGTATGTTCATGTAGATATCATGATTGGGTAGGTGTTATATTTATCTGTAGATAACATCTTAACTTTATTGATTACTTGCTTTTACTAACTCGTTTTTCTCTTTTATTTGTGTTACTAATTCCTTTTTTTCCTTTTTTTTGTTTGTGTCATTTTTCATCATTCTTTGCATTGCATTGCATCGTCATAACATAATGCAAAAAATATTGATCTGAAAGGGGATATTCATGAGAAAATATTCACAAGAAGAGATAAAAGTTCTCAATCAAGCAGTCGCGTATACAGACATGCACCGAGGGCTAAAATGAGTCTATAGCAACAAAATGAAACTTGCTCGAAGATCGTGTAGCATTCGAGACTGAAGTGATGATCCACTAATCTGAGGAGTAATCAGCAGTAGAACCTTATCTACGATCATTCCATCGTTAACCACCAAGGAGTGACGTACTGAGTTCAGCACCGTCGGGACATTAACGGAGTCAGGTTATAGAGCATCATTTTCAAGGACGAAGATCCGAGACGAAGCATCGATCCATTTCAGACTCAGCATCTAAGAGAAGGTATGTCTATAAAGTGGACTGTCTTGTAATATGAAAGCTTTTACCTCTGGTGAAAATTATTCTATGATATTCATCGTTGGGATCAACATTTTTTGCATCTAAATTTGCATCATTGCATTTTGCACAACATTCATTTAAGTATTTTTACATGTATTAATCATACCTTATGGGAAACTTCGAGGAAACGCTTCTAACTGTGCAACTGTATTCACACAGTATTGAGAATGGATGCAAAATTCGAGCAACTGAAGAAAAAACTGGAAGAGAGTTTGCAAAAGATGCGTAGAGTGGGAAGTTAAAATGGAGCAGGCACAAAAGGTCACCATGGATCGTATCTTGCAAAATCAAAATGACCTAATGGATCAAATGGTAGCAAAATTGGTTGGGCTCAACCACGAAAGAGGTAAAGAGAAGATTTCCTCGACCAGAGAAACCTCCGAATATGTGATATCTTGTGCTAGTCCCCAAATAATCATTTCACCCCAAAAGCTTCCAAGCCACCAAGTAGGCTTCTCAGCCACTGAAGCTCGTACAAATGTAATAAATCCTCGGGGTAATTCTACTAATCACAACATGCAAAATCCTGATAAGATTAGAAGAGCCAATAACGAGATCCCAAAAAATTTTAAATAGTTGTGTAGAGAGACATTCCAGGGAATGAGAGGACATAGCTCTCACTACGGAATAGATGCAATAAAATTAGTACTAGTTTCTAACTTGGTGTTTCCGCCCAAATTCAAGATGCCCGACTTTGAAAAATACAGTGGAACCAGTTTCCCTAATGCCCATCTCACGATGTTTATTCAAAGAATGATTGGGTACACAAACAATGATCAGATGTTGATCCACTGTTTCCAAGACAGTTTTATTAGAACCGCTTCTAGGTGGTATAACCAATTGAGTCATGCCCAAATCCGCTCTTAGAAGGATTTGACTAGTGTCATTTTGAGCCAATACAAGCACATGATTGATATGGCCCTTAATCGAATCACGCTTCAGAATATGGAGATGACGAGTGATGAGAGCTTCTGACAATATGCTCAACAATGGAGGGATATCGCATCTGAAGTACATCCACCGATGATTGAAAGAGAGTTCATCACTCACATTGAAATCTCCATATATCAACTACATGATAGGAGCTGCCACCAAGAGTTTCACCAACATCGTCATGTATGGAGAAATGATCGAAAAAGCTTTCAAGAATGGCCAGATAGGAGTCAATAGTAGTACTGACAATGAGGAAAGAGCTGAGATTAACATTGTGGGATCTTATTTAACTAGTCTAGGGACCAGACCTCATAATGTCTTTTATAAAAAGACTCGCATCAATCCAATCCCAATAATATATGAGGAGTTGCTCCTAATGCTAGTTGAGATTAATCTTGTGAGTCCAATTCAATCCAAAGCAAGAGAGGCCCCTTATCCTAAATGTCATGATATTAACGCCATGTGCAGCTACCATATTGGGAGCTCAGGGTATACTACTGAGAACTATGGGGTATTGAAGCACAAGGTCTAAGATCTGATCGATTCAGGGGCATTGACATTCAATGTGTGATGGATCATTTTGATCGGGAGTCGGCTGGGGCATCTATCAGGATTTTGGTTACATTCTCATGCATATCATCTTGTTTGAACATGTTTTTCTTTTGTATTTCTTATGTTTAAATATTTGTAAGTCAATGGACGTTCGAACATTTTTAATAAAATGCTTCATGCTGAGGAAATGATCAATGAGCAAATTTTAATCTTGAAATTCTTTGAATATCATTTTAATTAAAAGCTTTTTAATAATTGAAGTTGTAAATCTTTGACAAATAACAAGATTGAATCCATGCAAAACAAGGACCCCTTAATCCTAATCTAAATACACACCAGAATATATACCCTTCTCTTGCTGGGACCAAGCTAACCATTTACTTTCTTGTACAGCCAATCAAAGGCTTGGCATTCAGGTATGTGTTAGGAGCGGACAAAATGGGGCAACTAGCACATGAAATTGCAAAACTAATTGGTTTTTGATTTTGTTAGTAATGTTCAATGATGATCATGA